AGCCCTATTTCTCCCTTTTATTATTGTTTCTATTTTCTATTCTCCTTTGTAATTGCTTGATTAACTTTTCTTGTTTTATTTATTCGTCTAGTTGTTCTTCTAATTGTTTGAGTGTGAAATGGTCCGTTTTTAATCTTCTTATAGTTATCCTTACCTTAAAAGAAAACATTTAAGTCTATTGTATTTTCTAGCTCTGACTTTCTGTAAATTTAGCCAAATGGTTATTGTCCTTTGCTTCTTTCTGGTTTTCTTATTGTTGTCCACTCTTGGGCCACTTCATCTTTATTCCTGTTAGGCTCACTTTTAGCCTAGTGATGGATAACAAGCCAATTGCAAAGGCATTCATAAAGGTCAGTTACTCCCACAAGTGAACATATCTGAAATCTAGTATCCTACAAATTGACATTCTAGTATCCTACAAATCTCAGAGCAGAGATTCTGACTTACCTAATATTTTACTTTGTTGACCCCTTCAATCAAGTCAGTGGGTCTTTCTGAAGCCAATATGAAATGATCTTCCCTGGATCCTGAATTTACTACTTGTTTTTTTATGTCTAGAGATCACCTCTGATAGAGTCTGAAATAAGATCAGGATTATGGGTGTGGATGATATTTGCCCTGTGCTCTGCAAAAAAACTTGATGGGCAAAAAGATCAATGCATATGGCTCAAGTGGAATTTTTTTTAATCATATTTGCATTCTAGTTACATTGCTCTTTCTGTTTTCACTGATTTTTGACCTTTGAGAAGAGAAAGAGAAACAGTGTATCTTAAAAAAATGTCATTTCTACTTCATATTTAATTTACATGTTTGCCATGAATTTTTGAACCTGTGTGGTGTGCAAAGCATGGTGCCAGGGGCGGAGGACACTGTCCCTGTCCTCAAAGAGTTCACAGCAAGAGACACAGCCTGGTGAAAGAAGTGCCATGGGACAGCTTGCAGAGGCACAGGTGGAGACATGAAGGAAGGCCACTAATCTTACCAGACTGGATCAGGAAATTCTTACCCAACAGGGTGATTTTGGATTGAGAATTGCAGATGGTTAGGAATTGGCCAAGCCTCAATGTGCCTAAACTATTCCAGGCATGTTGAGCTGAAGGTTTGACAACCAGGAGGGGAGCAAAATAATGGGATTGCCAATGCCTGAAAATTAGAACTGAGTGGGGCAGAGGTGGAGAACTAGGCTGGGAAGGGAGGTAGGACCCAGATGGGAAGGCTGTCATTTGCTCTGGAGGTGGGAGTTTGTTCTGTGGGAAACGTGGAACCATAAAACCTGGGATTATTGACTCAGGTTCCACAGAGAGACTTCAAGGAGTCCAGGATCCATTTGATATTGTATGACAAGTTGTATTTACAAAAGGTCAGAATCCTTGACTAGAGGAACTTAAGGAGCAGAAGTAGGAATAACAATCGTGTTAGCCTATTCGATCTGGGGTGGCCAGGGGGATGGATCAGGGTTGTTGATGTATGGCTGAGAGATTTGTTAGGCAGCTCTTGTACTGATGATCCAGGTAGGAAGATATGAGAACTAGAAGTAAGATTATGGTGGTGGAGATGAGGGAAGAGGACAGATGTGAGGTACATTTATGTGGCAACCCATCACGGGGTGCTTAGACATCACCTGGCAGATGGCAGGAAATGGATACTGGCTAAGCCGACTTCATGGGTTTCTTACTAAACTGGGCTCTTGAGGATGTGTCCAGGGAGAGGCCTTGTTGGTCTCAGAGAACCCTGTCTGAAATTTTGTTAAGGAGGGAGTCTCTGTCACTCTACATGTGGTACAGATTTATAAAGGACAGCCACGGTGTGGACACTCTACCTCCAGGAAGAAGCAGCTGCTGACTCCCAGATAAACAAGCTTCTATTTTGTGTGGAAAAACCATGAGCTTTGCCGTCAAAGAGAAGAATATTGGAGGCTGATGACAGAAAAAGAAGGCGGGAAATGAGATGCTAGAGAAAAATGCAAAAGAGTAAGAACCATGATATGGAATTTACGGGAACCAAAGTTCAGTGACTGTGAGAAGCTGTGTCACAGGACAAGCCACATGCAGGCCAGGCAGTAATGTGATACCCCTTCATTACATCTGTGATGACAGCAGCACTCAGGAAAACATAAACTTCATTGTAACCCTGTTAAACTCACTGCTGACTTAATTAAATAGTGTGTGTGAGTGTCACGTAGCTGCTGTAACAAATTACCACAAACCAGGTGGCTGAAAAATTAATTTTCTCATAGTTCTGGGAGATGGAAGTCTGAAGTCAAGGTGTTATCCATGTTCTCTCCAAAGGCTCTATAGGAGGCTCTTTCCTTGCTGCTTCTAATTTCTGAAGACTGAGGTGTCCCTAGGCTTGTGGACATATAACTTCTATCTCTGCCTCTGTCTTCACATGGCCCTCTGTGCTGTCAGTCTGTGTTGAATCTCTTCTAACTTCTTCTTAGAAAGACACCTGTCATTGGACTTAGGGCCTACCCATATAATCCAGGATGATCTCATCCTAAGATCCTTAATTACATCTGTCATCTTTTGTCCAAATAAGTTCACAGTCACAGGTACCAGGTGGATATATCTTTTGAGGGGCTGCCATTCACCTCACTTTACAGTGTGTCTTAGTCTGTTTTTCCCCCTACTATGACAGGATATCAGAAGCTGCATAGTTTATAAAGAAAAGAGATTTATTTGGCTTATGATTCTGGAGGCTGGAAAGTCTAAGAACATAGTGCCAGTATCTGGCCAGGGCCTTTGTGATGTGTCATACCATGGTGAAGGTGGAAGGGCAAATGTGGGCCAAACCTGCTTTAATAACAACCCATTCTCATGACAATTGACCTCTCCCACACAAACAGCATCAGTCCATTCAAGAAGGAGGAGCCCTTAAGACCTGATCATCTGTTATTAGGCCTGGCCTCCCAACTCTGATACGCTGAGGATAAAGTTTCCAACGGATGAACTTCAGGGGACCCGTTCATACCATAGCCCCACGTCTTGTCCACCTGTTCACTGGCTCACCTCTTTTTGAGACAACTGTGGAAAGGAACTGTGGGGAGTACATTGGACTGAGACTCTGCGCTCACAGGGTTTATAGTTTATTAGGAGATGACAAATGCTGTGAGTGCAGACTAGAGGTGTAGTGCCAGGGGAGGTTTCGGAGGTGGGTTACACCAGCTGGGGTGGGGATCAGCCAGGATCAGGGACACTTCACAGCAGACCAGTCCTTTGAACTGCATCCAAGAGACAGGCAGTCTTTGGGCAAGTGGGGATGAGGTATATCAGGCAAAATAAATTATAAATAATAATAATAATAATAATAATAATAATAATAATAATAATAAGATCAAGGAGGCCCAAGGGTAGGTAGGAAATGATGGGTGTTTACAGGCAGGGATGAGAAAATCAGCCAGCCTGGATAACAGGGTGAGTGCAAGAAAGGTAGCAATGAGGGTAAAGGAAGAGGTTGTCTGGGTACCCAGGCTTGGTGATCCTGAGTGGGTTTTAGCCAATGAGGATTACATGGGGTTTGGAACATACCCCCATGCCCATTGTGACATGATGAAAACTTTCATTTGTGAGAATAATTTAGATGCTGTATGTAAGAATTAAAATGGGGATCAATAGAGGAACGGATGAAGAAAATGTATGTGTTCACAATGGAGTTGACTCAGCCATGCAGAATTTTTGAATGAAAGTATGACATTTGCTGGCAAACGGATGGAAATGGAGAACATCATGCTAAGTGAAATAAGCCAGTCTCAGAAAATCAAGGGTTCAATGTTTCCTCTCACATGTAAAAGCTAGAGTACAACAATGGAAAGAAAGTGGGATGGGGGAATTGTGTATAGTAAGTATATAGAGAAGATCAGAAGAGGAGGAGGAGGAGATGGAGGGAGGGTGGAGGGATGGGAAAGGGAAAGAAATGTGGACTCAATGTGACAGATCATGTTGTGGGCATATATAAAGGTAACACAGGGAATTTCACCTTTATGTAGAAAGCACCAACCAAAAATACATAAATAAATGAGTGAAGAGAAGATTGGTAGAGTACGATGGGGGAGGAGAGGGGAAGGGGGAATGGGGACCGAAATGGAGTAAATCAGATTCTAAATGTGTATGATTTTATCCAACTGAACCCAACTTCTATGTGTAACTTTAATGCTCTAATTAAAAAAAAAAAGAAATTAAGATGGGAGAGACTTGCTATGGCAGGTTAGTCAGATGCTATTGATTCAGGCTCCATTAGCAGTAGGCAAAGTAGAGATGAGTATGTGTTTCAGAGACTGCAGAGGTAGAATCATAGGATTTGGTAAAGAAAGAAACTTAGGAGGTGAGAGGGGGAGAAGGGATGGCTGGTAATGATTCGGGTTCTGAGCCCAGTCGCTGGGGCCCTGGTGGCGTTATCAACAGATAAAGGAACTAAAAGAGAGAACAAGGTCACAAGAAAGTGGGACAGGCTCACCGCGCTCATGGAGTTGGCTTGGAGCCTGGCAGAGAGGTCAGAGCTGGAGATGAGGATCTGAGATGGTCTGCATGGCATGGAGTGGTCACTGAAGACAGGAAGTGGGAGAAAAACACCGAGGGGGAAACACAGGAAAGAGGAGAAGAAGCTATAGAGGGGCAAGCAAATATGGAAGAGGGGCCACAGGAAAATGCTGTGTCAGGTCAGAGACAGCATCCTTCCTGTAGAAAAACCAGCAGGAACAAGAACTACAGGCCTGGAAAGAGGACAGCTTTGGAGGAAGTGAGGCAGTCGAGGTGTGAGGCCAGAGACTCGGGTGGGTGGTGGTGATGGAGAGGTGACATGGCAGAACGCTGCTTCAGGAAATCTCACAGGGAGGGGAAGAGAGAGACGGTGATGGTAATTTTCGACTTATTTGGATCTCTTAGCCACTGGGCGTGTTTTGATTTCTGAATTTTTAAACATCGAGTCAATGCTAGCTACATTTTGAAGATCAACATGACAGAAACAAGTTCTTGGGAGGGGGGGAGGCATATAGGGAATTAAACTATTAAAGAAGCATCTTTCTTTATTTATTCCATTTTTACACATCTACCTCTTTGTCATCAAGTCACAACAGTTTATCAAAATATACAAACAGCACAAATACTTTAAAATGTATAGTTAGGATTCTAATAAAATGAGATCGACTACTGCAAATCGCATGCGTGGGTTGTTTATCTTGAATGAGGCCTAAAGAGAGGCTTGTCCTCAAATCACCAGTGATGGCATAGGAGGGACTGGTGATCTTTTCTTTTAGAAAAATCATGCACTTCATTTCTTTTCTTGTCGTGGTGTGAGGATGGTGATGAATGACAGCACTGGTCCTGCAATCACCCGAGAATGACAGACAGGAGTAAAATGATACTATCTTTGCTGGACTCTGAACTTAATTTCTACGTTGACAAGACAACCAGCGTAGGTGTTCTAATTAGTGAGCCTTCCCTATCCGGTCACACAAGCTCTTTCCATTTTCCTCTTTTCTGTGAATTTTATGGCTAATCAGAATGAATGGATTTGTGAATCTCAAGTTCAAGCTACGTTTATTGTGAAGAATCCCATGAGAACCTATGCAGGGTTCCCCCACCAAACCATTTACCGTTGCACAGGTACACGTAGCATGAAATGGGTTAGTGGTTACTAGTCTGCGGCTAAGTGAGATCCACTTCTAGGCTAGGTGATGGCTGTTTTGGTCTTTGTACTACTTTGCTCCTTAATTCATCGAACATTTCATTGATCAGCAGTTGATGCCCAAGGGAAGAACCATAATTTAGAGAAGTATTAGGTTTCAAATCTTTCACAGTGTAGAGAGCCATTTTTCAAGTAAATAGCTAGGGTTAGTAATGACCTAACTTCAAGGGCGGCTGTGAAAGATGCCAGGAGATAAAACAGGACTTTGTCATTAGTGAAGTAGAGTTGGTTTCTGCTACAGATAAAATGTCACGTGAGGTGCTAAAAGGGCTCACTCAGCCTTTATTGTCGAGTGTTTCTTTCCTTTTCCTTCTTGAAGAAGGGACCCAAGAAGTGTTGCTGGAACTGGGGACAGGAAGAAGATGAATTCCCTCGAGGCTCTGCAGAGGCGGGGTTCATGAGATGAGCCCCTCCATCCCTGGGTTAACGAAGGAAAAGTTCCTAAACATATTCTGGTCCATGCTGTTGATCAGGGCTCTATCAGCAAACGACAGGCGGGGTTTCTCATTCAAGAATTCTTTGTCGAAATTGCTACAGTCGTAGGGTGATTTCTGGGTCAGCGTTGAAGGGGGAGAAAAAGGGAAAAGGAAAATCAGTGGCTACATTCATGATCTCATCTTTGGTCGTCAAGGCTATCATCTGTGTCTGACAGAGCTGGCATCTGCAGAAACGCTAAACCGAAAGGAAACTTACGGGTTTATCATGCACGGCTGGCAATGAACGGCACTGTGATGCTAAGTCATCAGTTTTTTAGTAATATCATGAAATCCACATAGTGTGGCTCCACGGTGTTCATTCAATAGGATCTAATGCTCCTCATTCAGAATTTCTGTGAAGGAAGACCGGCCACCTTTGAAAAAGTGGTGAGCCCACATTTGATCTCTGTCCTTTATCTGGGACAGAGGTGAGGAGGTGGCGGGGGAGGGGGCAAGGGAAGGAGGAAGGAAGGAACCTGGTAGGTTATATATTCCTGTTCTTTTATCCGAATCCTTTGCTATTGTTGGTTCCTCTGCCTATGTTAATTTTATTGTCTTCTAGAGACGTTGGGATCATAGGTCCTATTGGTTCTCATGACTGGAAAAAGAGGTGGGGCCAGTACTAACAAATACCTATTGATGAATACTGATGGGCATGCACTACATTTCAGCTTTCAAAGATGAGGTTAGCCATTATCAAAAGAAGGTCACATGAGCAAAATCAAGGTCAGGCCTCCCACCCTCAAGGGGCTGTGGGATGGTGAGGTCCAGAGCTTGCAGTCCCTGTCTACAAATAGCTGCTCAGGCCCCAGGCCAGGGAAGTGCCTTCCTACCAGCAGAACTGAGAATTGTCCTATGGATCAAGCCCAAATCAAACATCTGATTTTTATATGGCAAATATCAAGTTAATGCTAATCTGCAGTAGAAGGTCAGGCAGGAAGCCAGCTGTTCCCGTGGCCAGAACCAGGCAAAAACTCACCTTATCATAAGTAAATGGTCAACCGTGTATTGGATGTGATATTATCGTTACTAGTCAGAGGGCAAGAGGCCCGGCTGGTGGGCATCCCCAGTGCCTGAGACATATGCTAAGAACAACTCTTCTGACCCTGGGGATGAGGCACATGGCTTCCTGCAGCCATTCGCTGTCATGGTAACAGCTATGGCTGTTTCCTGGGGTGAAACCCACAAGCCTGTGCTATTTCAGCAGCCATGGCAGAGATGGTCCATGCCCAGTCAAGTAATTATGACCCCGTTCCCAGCAATCACCAGCAATAGTTAAAGCTTTAAAGCTGGCAAACTCACCACTTACTACTTACTTTAAAAAATTACTTAAAAATTACTAAAAACTGTGATAAAATATATATAAGATGAAATTTGCCTTTTAACCTTTTTTTTTGTGTGTGTGTGTATGCAGTGCTGGGTATTGAACTCAGGGCCTCCCACATGATAGAAAAGTGCTCTACACTGAGCTGTAGCCCCGGCCTTTTATCTTTATTTTTATTTTTTTAAATTTTGAGACAGGGTCTTGCTAAATTGTTGAGGGGCTCGCTAAGTTGCAGAGGCTGGCTTCAAACTTGTGATCCTCCTGCCTCAGCCTCCTGAGTAGCTGGAATTAAAGGTATACTCCACCACTCCTGGCCCATTACTTCAGAGTACAGTTGAGTGGCAGTAAGCACATTCTCATCATTGTGTAACCATTACCCTCCATCTCCAGAACTTTTTCACCTTGACTGTGGTTCATTTTTAATTCTACTTTGGGGTGCTCATCTTATTGTAAGCCAGGTTGCTCTGCCTTTTCTGAGGTAGGTAAGTGACTTTCACTAGTGCAAAAGCATATACGGGAAGTCAGAGATCTATCTTTTTCTAAACACTGATTTACTTTTTCTTCCTTCAGCCGAGGAACACCTAATGATTGCTACTAGATACTGTAGCTCTGTGAGCACATTACAGATGGTAGCTAAATTTGAATGGAAAAATGGCTCCAACATTCCTCACATAGAATGCAGATTTAGGGACAAGTTTGGACCACTCAGCCTGTGACCACTAAGTATGTACACAGCACCTGCCAGAAGCCCCTCTCATCTGACAGCCACCCCTCTAAATACATATCCCACCCAGACACACTCTGAAGTTTATTCTTCATGCAGGGACATTTTGACTATAGAGGTTAAATTTTGCAAGCAAGACCAGTGCCATGATGCACACCTACAATCCCAGCTACCTGGAGGCTGGGACAGGAGGATTGCAAGTTGGAGGCCATCCTAGAAATTTTGTGAAACTCTGTCTCAAACATAAACATAAAAAGGGCTGGGGTATAGCTAAGTGGCAAATAACCCTGGATTCAGCTCCCAGAGATTTAGCTCCCAGGGATTCAGCCTGTCCGGAAGCAGAAAATTCTTCCCCAGGGAGGTATAAGGATTGGGCAGAGCTTGAAGCAGCCTGTGAGGATGGGAGAGTGGTGGACAATTGTCCCACAGCTGAGTCCTCACCACTTTGGGCCTGAAAGGTGGGTCAATCTTCTTTCTCTCAAGTTCCTCCCAGTTGATCTCCCGAAACATAGGATGCTGGCGGATGTCGCCCTTGACTCCCAGCCTCTTTTCCGGTTCTCTCACAAAGAGCTGAAAAGGAGCAGAGAACAGGCAGCTTACTTACTGCTCAAGGGATGAACCACTTCGCACCAGGTGGAGCTGGACCTGTTAGTGGATAGCCTCCTGCCTGTCTAGCCTTCTTTACCCTATGACTCAGGTCCAACTGGCCCTGACACTCTCCCTGGATGAGACTTCCTGAACACTCTGGAGTCCGGACACTCAAAGCCTTTACTCTGTGACCCCCTTCTAGCCTCAGGTCAGCTTCACCAGGTGTTATTAATGGGATCTTCGGCAAATCACAGAATTTAATAAATTGAGCCAAGTGCTCAACTCACAGGGCTATTCTGAGGATTAAATAAAATAGCCATTTGCACACACACAGATCATACACGTGTACCCTCACACAGAGGCACACACACACACATACAAACACATGTGAACACACACATGAACATGCATGCACAATCATACATACATGCATACACACACGTGCACATGCATGCTCACACATACATTTGTGCACTCAAACTCCTGACCTGTAAGACCCAACAGCAAAGAGTAAGTGATTATTTGTTGTTTGATTGGCTGTCAGTTGAGTATGATTTCTTCCAAAGCTGCCTTCTTAGGGTCCTTGCACTGTGGGCCTTGGGGGTCATATGAACTAGTCCCACACGGTCAGCCTGAAACTCTGCAAGGCACCCGAGTGTAGAGAACCACCCTGACTCCTCCAGCCTGCTGGGGCAGTGACATCTCATTCAACGTTCTCTTACAGTCACCTAAGAGATGCTTATGTTTCTTCTTGCACTGTCCTTTCTCCGTTGCTGGGCGTTTGGAGTAATCCCTTTTCCAAGTTTTATTTTCCACTGTGCTGGGTATTATACCCAGGGCTCTGCACATGCCAATCAAGTGCTGTACTACTGAGCCACACCCCCAGCCCTCCTGTACTCTTGGATCAGCTTTTGTTTCTCAGGTGACCCCTGGTCATAGACATCCCAAGGAAACCCTGGATCTTTCAACCAGGCCCGTGGTGGAACGCAGTGACTTTCCTGGGTGTTTGACAAGGACTTGCCTCCCTCTTTTGCTTTTGTGGCTTACAAGAACAGCATTTGTATGTTCTAAAACGCCGTTTCACCTTTGTTATCTACTGCTCGAAAGTCTTCGGAGGCTCTGTTCTACCAAAACCATAAAGATCAAACAACATCCTGTAGCAAGTGAGGTTTTTTTCTTTTTCTTTTTTTTTTTAAAGCAGGAGAATCTCTTGTAAAGTTCCCAGCATGGTGTGCATGCAGCCATCTAGCATATCCACCTGGTAAAGTCCTCCTTGGCCCCTCTGCCTCTTGCCCCCTTGTTGTGGGGGGGGCCACTGAGGACTCTGTGGAAACCTGGGTTTCTACAGCAGCTGAGGAGAAAACATCCGTGCCATGCAAAGAACACTGGGCTGTTTACCCAAGAGATTTACTACCCACGTGGCACTGAGTGCATGTTTTGAGTCTCAGTGTCCTTGTGTGAGTCAGCTTTCTATTTCTGTAACAAAATAGTTGAGACAACCAACTTAAAAAGAGAAAAGGTTTGCTTTGGTGCATGGCTTCAGAGGTTTCAATGTGTGCATGATCGGCCCTGATGCTTTTGGGCCTGTGCTCAGGCAGCATGTCCTGGTGGGAAACCATGGTGGGGCAGAGCTGGTCACTTTGTGGCACCCAGGAAACAGAGAGGAAGAGGAAGGGCTGGAGTCCCATAGTCCCCTTCAAGGACATGTGCTGATGACCTAAGCCCTCTCACTAGCTCCACCATCTCTCAACAGCTGCAAGCCGGGGACTAAGCCGTAGGCACATGGGCCTTTTGCAAGACATTTAAGATACAAACCTTAGTGGTCCTCATCTGTAAACAAGGACTAATCAAGGTCATTTCTAGAGTTCGAATATCCATGAGCCCCAGGCAACATTTGGGGCTTGTGATGGATAATGTCACTCATCCCCATGGCTGTCCTTGAGAGTCAGGCTCTGTGCTAGATGCCTCAGCTACATCATCCTGACTTGATTTATTTGTTTTAATTGTACGTAATTATGGGGTACAATGTGATATGTTGATATACATATACATTATGGAATGACTGAACCAAACTAACAAACATCCATCACCTCACAGACTTAAACCTTCGTGTGTGATAAGAACATTAAACTCCGTGCTCTTCAAATTTCCATTACACTGAACACTACTGTTAACTCCAGTGCTGTCCAATAGATCTTCAGTATTTATTTCTCCTGTTTAAATGGAATTTCATGCCCTTGTCCTGATTTTAAAAACAAGTTCAACAAGCAGATACTGTATTGTTATCCCAGTTGTCAGTTGAGGAAACTGAGGCTCAGAATAGCTAAGTCACTGGCTCAAGATGACACATCTAGTCAGTGGCAGGCTCTCAATGATTGGCAGCCTCTTTCCTATTTTTAGTGTTAGGTGGTCTCTCTGCTGAGTGCCACAGACCATCTCCCACTACAGAAATTCTCACCTACATCTCCCCCCCATGTCCCAAGACTGTTTTCTATTGGTCTGTAACATCTGGAAAGCAGACTGTATTCTATTTCTTTCAAAGTCTAGCTGAGTGCCATGCACAAAGTAGATGTTCAGCAAATGGTGGCTGCCTAAATGAATACCCTGTCTTTCCATGTGGCTTAGCTGCTGTTCTTCTGTTAGCCCCCTGCTTTCTCTTTTTAGCTTCCTTTACAGAAAAGGCACAAAGTTCACAGTGGCATATATTTTCCTGTGGACTCCAAAGCTAAACTCAACAGATGGTGATATTTTCAGAAACTGAGGGAATAAGTGACATGCCCTGTTTCTCCTTCCTGGAAATGATCCTAGTAAATGACCTCTACCACTTAAGGATATTTTGATGAAACAGGAGTAGATAGAAGGTTTAAGTGCATCAAGAATGTGCCCCCAACTAGCTGATGTTATAATGAAATGCTTTCAAAATTAAGTTAGAAGTAGCTGCCCTGGGCCAGGTGTGTACCACACTAGTTTTCCATTCGATTTCCTTTTTTTGGCAAACATGTGGCATTTGTACTAAGAAAACTGTGACAAAGAGACTTCTGAGCTTGGTTTATGTACCTGTGAAATGTCCAAAGTGTACTTTAAAAAGTAAAATGGATGATGAGAAGATCATGTGATCTACAGCTTCAAAGTCCAATATTTTTTTTCTAGTTTTGCACAGAATAGTGAATTATCATTTTTTTCTGCCTGAAGCAAATTGACCTGCCTACAGTCTTGAGGATGACCATTCCTGAGGAGGTCAAGGTTACTGGCTCCAGGGAAATAAAGTTGGTGAAGAAAGATTTGTCATTGCCCTTAAAAGATGTCAGAAGGGTGGTTTACATTGATAGGAAACAGCACACTCTAGCATGAATGGTCAGGATGTAGCTGGAGCTTGTTTAAATCTGTTTGACAGCCTGGGCAAGGAAGCAAGCAGTTCCTAGCTGCTGAGGAGGGCCACCATCGGCTGGGACAGGTCGTACCTGGAATCCACCCTCTGTTCAGTCCCTCCTTAGATACGTCTATTGAAAGGGAAACATTTCTGTTCAAGATCATTAGTTTTTCATCATTTTCAAACAAATGGACAGGACATCCTGCATGAATAAATAGGGAGGAAAAGATTTTTCTTTGGCAGTAATCAGCTGGACCACAGTGTCCCCCACCCCTGGGAATTCTTGATGGATCACAGCTGCTCTTGACATGAAATTTGTTCAGTGCTCTACATGCCCCCATGTGTTATGAGGGGTAAGGGATACAGCCTGACGCCGATGCTTATAACAGAAGTCACAGAAGGCTGCTTTGTTCAGCTTTTCCAGAGGACCCATGACTTCTAGGTTTCACAACATCACGCAGAAGTTCCTGGAGGAAATTTCTGAGAAATGGTGTTACCTTTGACTTTTGCAGACAAAGGGCCTTAGAATGTGGGGGTTGTTGGGTCAAAGCAGCTGAGAGGTAGAGACAGAACCGGAAGCCAGTCACTGGCAGCAAATTGCATGATGGAAACTAAGTTTTAATCAGCCCAACTTCTGGAATATGGGCATGAGAAAGGACATGGGATTTTTACTAACTCATGTGGGAAATACTAAGCTTAGACTCTTTCATATGGCTTTAAAACCTCTTGTGCCTACTAGTCTCTCTTCTTTATTCTCACTTGTCATGGCTTCTGTTCAATTCATCAAATTTATTTCTTACTCTCATGGCAAATCTTTCTTTTGCCACTGACACTACTCTGTACATGTTGAATTTGTGTGTGTGAGTGTGTGTGTGTGTGTGTGTGTGTGTGTTTGCATGGCATTTACCCTTATGTTTACTTTTGCTTTTAAGCTTTTAATTTTGAAATAATTACAGATTCATGGCACATTGGAAAGCTTGTACAGAGATGTCTCGTGTGTCTTTGGCCGCCAGTCTTCTGCAATGGCTATGTTTCACGTAATGGTAGCATAATAACAAAGCCAGGAATGGCGTTGGAATGATGTGTGTGTGTCTAGGACATTTTGTCACATGTGTGGATCTGGGCCACCACCTTGACATAATGTCAATGATGTTATGTAATTGGACTCATAGAATACATGACTTTTGAGATTGACTTCTTGCCCTTGAGATCCATCTAGGTCATTTGGGGTATCGATATTTTCTCCTTGTATTGCTCAGTGGGTTTCTGGGCACATGAATATTCCCCTTTTCTCCCCAACAGGAAGCAATCTTTTCCTTCTTCCTAGTCTTTCTCACTTGGGAAATTGCCACTCCTAGCTTCCTCCCGCAGTTACCTCTGGTTGTCTCCACCTGGCCGGGGTCCCACCTCCACTCTCCATCTTTGCCTGAAGCTATCTCAGATCCTGAGGTCCCTGGGTTTGGGAGACATGGTGGGAAAGCTGGCTTTCTGGGGGCATCGGCAGGTGTTAGGGGGTTGCAACTGGCTCCAGGCATCCATTCCTTGACTTGTCTGAAGACAGCCTCTGTGTCTGAAGGTGCCCTTGGCCCTCAGAACAGGCCTGGTCTTCATCCAGGGACTTTATTGGTCCAGGCTTCTCAGTGCAGCATCATGCCAGCAACTGAGTTATGTCCCCTCAAAATTCACACATTGATGCCCTAACTCCCAATAGGTTGTAGATGGGGACTTTAGGTTAGTGATTAAGGTTAAATGAGGTCATGAGGGTGAAGCCCTGATCATCAAACAGGATTAATGTCCTTATGAGAAAAAGGCAGCAGAGTGCTCATACTTGCTGTCTCTTCCTCACCATGTGAAGACCCAGCAAGAAGAGAGCCATCACCAGGAAGAACCCACCATGTGGGACCTTCATCTTGGACTTGGACTTCAGTCCCCAGAATTGTGAGAAATAAAGGTTCGTGGTTTAAGCCACTTAGTTTGTCTTGTTACAGCAGCTGGGGCTGACACATACACTTTACACTGCGTTTTTCACAGAACCAAGTGTAAAGTAAAAGCAGAAATTACAGCCGGCTTTAAATGTGCCTTTAAGCAAAACTGAGTCCTTGAGACATACAGTCAATCAACAAGTACATGAAAAAATGCTCACCATCTCTAGCAGTCAGAGAAATGCAAATCAAAACCACCCTAAGATACCATCTCACTCCAGTAAGATTGGCAGCCATTATGAAGTCAAACAATAACAAGTGCTGGCGAGGATGTGGGGAAAAGAGTACACTTGTACATTGCTGGTGGGACTGCAAATTGGTGCAGCCAATTTGGAAAGCAGTATGGAGATTTCTTGGAAAGCTGGGAATGGAGCCACCATTTGACCCAGCTATTCCCCTTCTCGATCTATTCCCTAAAGACCTAAAAAGGGCATGCTACAGGGACACTGCTACATCGATGTTCATAGCAGCACAATTCACAATAGCAAGACTGTGGAACCAACCTAGATGCCCTTCAATAGACGAATGGATAAAAAAAAAATGTGGCATTTATACACAATGGAGTATTACTCTACATTAAAAAATGACAAAATCATAGAATTTGTAGGGAAATGGATGGCATTAGAGCAGATTATGCTAAGTGAAGCTAGCCAATCCCTAAAAAACAAATGCCAAATGTCTTCTTTGATATAAGGAGAGTAACTAAGAACAGAGTAGGGACGAAGAGCGGGAGAAGAAGATTAACATTAAACAGGGATGAGAGGTGGGAGGGAAAGGGAGAGAGAAGGGAAATTGCATGAAAATGGAAGGAGACCCTTAGGGTTATACAAAAGTACATACAAGAGGAAGTGAGGGAAAAGGGAAAAATAATACAAGGGGGAGAAATGAATGACAGCAGAGGGGGTAGAGAGAGAAGAGGGGAGGGGAGGGGAGGGGAGGGGGGATAGTAGAGGATAGGAAAGGCAGCAGAACACAACAGACACTAGTATGGCAATATGTAAATCAATGGATGTGTAACTGATATGATTCTGCAATCTGTATATGGGGTAAAAATGGGAGTTCATAACCCACTTGAATCAAAGTGTGAAATATGATATGTCAAGAACTATGTAATGTTTTGAACAACCAACAATAAAAAATTAAAAAAAAAATAAAGTATTGAAGTCCTTCATAAGAATAAGAATAAACTCACTGTAGGAATTGTAATAATGTTTAAACTAGCTTTACATAAAGTGAAACTGTTTATGTTCAAATCCCACTAGCTTATTTTTACCTTTGTCATCTTTTTTTAATTGGATAATTTTGAAATTAGCTTTCATTTACACGTGTTTTGTTTAGTTATTAAAAGTGAATTTAATTGGCCGTTCAGGGAGTTTCCTTCGTTTATTGCTTGCTTGGCTCACAGAAAGTGAAAGTGGAATGGAACAGCCCTTGGTTTTAAAATACCTCGTTCCATTAACCTGGGGCTGAGGATCCTGTGAGAGCTTTGTCTCTCAGAGTCAAGATCTCCATTCCCAGGTAGAGCCCTGGAGTACCCTCAAAGTTTCTAGTACCTTAAGCAAGTTGTCTCTTGTGTTAAGAGGTGGAAGTTCAAGAGAAGAAAGGAGACTAGTGAAAAAAGATGGGAATATTCTTCAAAGTTGTGATTTAATACCAAGTGATAGCTTCCAATGTTGAAGGATCTTGTTCCTTTTCCCATTTTTACTACAACGAGAACAAGGTTAAAAATTATTTTTCTAAATGATCTTTTTTAACCAGCTGACACAGGAGATTCTAGAGAACAAACAATGTTTTTTTTTTTTTTTTTTTCCAAATCCCTATATTCTGGGTCCACTTCTTTTAGATTTGCTGGCCTCTTGGCCACATGGATGGGTCTCTGATCCAAACATTTGCAGGAAGAGCACAGTAAATGTAGGCTTATCGTATTCATATATGTTGGCATGTTGTATTGCCGTATTCATTTTCATATTTTACCACTTGTTAAAACTCATATGTTATGGATGGTGTTTTATATCCTCAAAAAAGGAAAACTGGCATTGTATCTAGTATTCTCTCTATATGACCCTTAATGATGGCTCTCAGGTGTTCTTAGTTCCTTCATTGGTTTGCCTTGGGGCTCCTCAGTCATGGCTGTGGTTCTCAGAGTACAGTGTCCATCTATACTACTTTACACAGATTTCTAATGTATCTTGGGTTATCATGGATGGGGTTCTGATTTCTGCTTGGATGGTAGCTTCTGGATTTGCTGCTAGGATGGCGGTAGCCTGGCCTCCCAGAACTTGTTAGAGTGAGGGATACATGGATGTTTCCAGTGCACAATGGGTAGGGCATGTGAGGGGTGAGCTGGTCTGCATGCATTTTAGACACTTCTTGAGACCATTGCTGGGTGGATGACAGATAGAGAGGAAGCATATTGCCTAACAGTTTTGATGTAATACCTAGTCCAGGGTCTGGACTGCACAGCCTGTATTTCAAAGGTTTTAGCCAAAAATGTCCCCAAGCATTAGTATTTCCATAGAATCTACTAGAAGGCCTCACGAAGTCTCAGCTTGAACCATTGGTGGGTTTGGAGTGTGAAGCTGGTGGTCATGTGAGAACTGTCTCTTCTCCTTGCCCTTCCGTCCTCACTTGGTTTCTACCTGGTGTGGTCTGAAGCACCCTCAGTGGGAGAGGAAGAGAACAAGGACACAGTCAACCACACACAATTATCAGCCATCTCCAAAGGTGAGCAGTGCCAGCCGTGAACTCCAACCAGTGGAAAGGGAGCAGAAGTCTGAGCTTTCGTGTTAAGATGGACATGATCACTAAGGTGTTGATCAGGATAGTTTCAGTTTCTCATCTGAAACAGTGTTTCATGACCTATGAGTGACAATAGATTCATCTTTTACCTGAGCGTGAGCAGAAGTGTCATGTCAAGGTTTAAACCAGGGTCAGGGAAGATAAATTGGACTCAATACTTTGTATATGAGAAACAAAAGATTAAGTTTTAAGCTGCAAAGGGTGATCATTAAAAGGACCAACTATATCCAAGTAATAGCATTCAAGAGTCATGGAACAGTTTTGGAGGCATTTCTTTTTATAAATGATGCACAAGAGGGTTTGTCTCAAACTCCTTTTGATACCTAATGCTCATATTATTGGTGCCTCAGCTGAAACAGATAATGGTGGGTATACCATTTAAATCTAGTTCAATATAGTTGGTATTTGCTCTGTCACATGAAGGTCAGAATCTAGAAGTGAGTGGGAATACTGAGCAGAGAATCTACCACTAATCTTATGAAAACCTTCTTGACCACATTTCTTACCTTCACTAAAAGGTCCTTGGCCTCCTTCTCGAGCCATCGTGGGTAAAAGGGATTGTCCATGCGGATGGAGTGGAACAGCTCTTCCTCATCTTGCCCATGGAAAGGGGACTGGCCAATCAACATTTCATATAGGAGAACCCCAAAGGACCACCAGTCCACCGAATGGTTGTACCTCTGACCCAGCAAGATCTGTGTGGCCAAAAGGCAGAGACATAATTAATAGATGACGCTGGTGACTGATGATACTTCCAACTCCTCCAGGGCACTCAGTAAATGATGGTTGGTGAAGATAATATGTGGTCTCAACAGAGCCCACTCTGAACACTATCTCTAGATAGCTGATGACGGAGAGAAATGAACGTACAATGCCAAGATTTTTGAGTAAACACTGTAGAGTTTCAACTTCTGTTTTCCCTCTGGCTTTAAGAGACAATGCTGAACCATGTTCTTAGCTTTCATAGTCCCATCTGTGACATGAAGACCTGGGTGGCAGACACTGGACCCAATAAAGCTAGCACACATCTAAGTGCTCCAGTGCCTCTGGCATGAACATTGGAACCAAGTCCACATGCTTCACTGACTTCTACCCGGCCTGCGTACCTGCACAAAGTCTTTGTGGTAATTAAGCATCCAGAGACATGAGCTGACCAACTCTTTGTCCCCAAAGCCTAGCTAATCATGACTGGTCAACTCGGGAGTCATGGTGTAGTCATTATGATGCAGAATTGAATTGTGTGGCTGTCATGGGAGAATAACCAAGGATGACAACTGTTCATATGGAGAAATCAGACATTCGGATTTCTCAGATCTACATATGGCTTGATGGCAGGCTTGGTCTATCTGCTAGGGAAGAAGTTTCAAGTCTGTAATCCCAACTAAATTTTGTCTTTTAAAATTCTATTTTATCACTGATTCATTTTCCAGGAAAAAAAGACGTTGAGTGTTGACCTTTCAACAACTTCCTTGTTTACTGTCGGAAGGTATGGAGTATGCAAGCCACACACTGAACATGCATCCTCAGTTCAAATTTGCCCTAAATCAGAGACCAAGTTCACATGCAATTTCCAAGACTCACCACAAGAGGGAGCCAAAGCAATCAAACTGCTCGGAGCAACGCATTGTAAACAACTTCATTTTGGCCATTCTAATGAAAAGAAATTTGGAGGACAGGAGATGGCTGTGGTGGAAAGCAAACCTACTAGACTTGGATGTTTGCAAAAAAAAAAAAAAAAAAAAAAGTCTTATGTTAGGAGGAAGAAGCAAAATGCAAAGCCACATAGGGAATGGAATGTCAGCTGAAGGAACACATGGCAGATGTTTCATACATTGTGTCCCTGGAAGGACGAGATGTTGTCATCCCCAGAGGAAACAGCTTGGGGAAGTGTTGTTTCTTGTTTGAGATTGCTCAGTTAGTTGAAAGCTCTCTTCTGAGTTCTGGTCTTGGGGAATTCACTGCCTGATTCTCTTTTCATATTTGATGTGGTCTCTGGTGTCTGCTCTGCCCAGCCTGGTAGTGCTCGCGCTTCTCCATTGGTGAAGAGACTGTGGTCAAGCAGCACCTGCTAGAGAGGCTTATTTCCTAGCTCAGTCTTACTGTGGTCTCTTCTTTTGTCCTTCTCCTTTCCCTTCCCTGTCTTTACTCCAAGAATTCAGCCTTAAAGGCATAACTCTAAGCCTGAGAAACCAGAACAATACCATAATGCCTTCCATGTCATGACAGGGTCTCTCTTTCTCCCCTCTGGTGAGCCATTCCTACAGCTCCTTCAGCCACGGAGCTGGTGACCAAGGTCTGCATAGATGTGCCTATTGGGGCAAGTGCTATTCTGATGCTAAGTGACCGCCCAGGGACCATGTTGTTTAGTTTCCAAGCCATCTCTCCTTTCTCCTAGGAGCTGCTTCTGTGTGCTAAAATCCCACAGGGCTGACAGGCTAGTGTGTAGTAGAAAATAGGACGTTTCCCTGCTTTACTGCATCCCTATTTTTGTCAAAATGAGCTGGGGGTCTCCAATTATATACATTAGACCCTCCTGCAGTGGGATGTCAGGAGGAACAGTGGAGATTTGGAGAGGAGCACTGGGTCTCAAGAGACATAGGCTGCAGGAAGCACAGTTAACTTTTTAGATATTGTTCTTGACACTGCTCTGAAATGCACTTATTTCTGTGATCCAAATTCTCCTGAAAGGAGAGATCAGTGTCTGCTAGATGGCTCCATGGCCTTTGTCCCAGCTGCTTTGGGCTCTCATCTGGTTGGCTTTCTGAGAACTATAGAGCCATTTCTACTTCAATCAGGGAGGAAATCAGAGACTCAGCATGTACTTAGAACAGCAGTAGGTGGTGGGTGAGATGAGGAAGAACCACCTGCCTTGATTTGTTTAGCTTTGGAAGGGAAGACGGCAATGGGTGAATGAGTGAGATAGAGAAAAACTTCACAAAGTAGATGGCATGCCAGTGGGGTCCCCCCAAATGGGAGGATTTTGCATGGTACAGGAAAGGAGACTGCAAAGGTGGGAATCCAGTGCAAGTTAGACCTGGGCATTTGGTGTGACCTTGGTGTGGCCACTTATTCAGAAAACAGCTGATGGGTGTCTGCTCTGAGATGCAGGGAGGTGACTTGGGACACAGTGGGTACATCATGGTCCCTGATGGGGAAACACTCAGTGCATTGGTCAACTGGAGACTCCTGTGCCCTGGCAACACCAAGCAGGAGACAATAGACTATTCCAGAAGCCAGCATAGGCTTAGTTTCAGGAGAACATGGCCAGAGGTGGGGATGACCATGACCAAGGAAACAGGATGTGATAATAGAGGTGGAGTAGGTGGCCGAGTTGGGGAAGGTGCACACGTCCATGGGACTGGATGTTTCATCAGGGCTCCATACTCCAGGATTTGGGCTTGTACTCAGCTGATAGTGGGGATTTCTTAAAGATTGTAAAGCACTGGGGTAGCAGGTTTGCACATGACATGGGCAACTCTGGACTTGGTCGAGCAGTGGTTTCAAAGTGGTGCATGCCTTCAGAGTGACCAGGTCATCTCATGAGACATGGGGAGAAAGTTAGAACTTATATTTATTTTAGAGTAATTTTTAAAATCTAAAATGAGAAAGGAGTTAGGCTTTAAGAAGATTTACTTTGCAGAGTGACCTAACACCCTCACTTCATTAGAACAGTAGATATGGTATCCTGAGGGGAGGGTGGGAAACCTCATCTCAGCAGCAGCCTGGCAGTCACTTGGCTCATTCATTGACTTTCCATGAATCCTAGAGTGTTACCATTTTGGCTTCTGTTGTTAACTAAACTAATTTTCACAACATGACACGTCTTTAAAAAGTTATCTGCAAAGAGGCTTGGATTGAAGGTAATACAGTAATAATAAGGCAAACATAACATTTGAGTTAAAAAAAAACACTGAAATAAATAAGGCAATCATAAGCAGAAAGTAAGAAAATGGTAGCACTGATGTCTCTCTTACTCCCTGTACGAGATCTTTGTCAGCTACACGTGAGGAAGGTAGAAACAAGGAGGACCTCATTAGTTATGTTTTAGCCTACAAGAGGTGGGCTTAAAAAAATTGTGAATGTATCAAAAGCATTGCTTTGAATTATGGACTTGTATCCACTATTGTCAGCAATGATCCTTGCCTTAAGTACATATTATAAAGTCTGTTTCATATTGTACCTCTGTGAAGTATCTTTTCAGTTACTGTAGACATGAAAACCAAGAACTAGAATAAATGAATCAGACCTTTCAATCCCAGAGTTCTGAGGTGTCAAACCAAGATTTAAAAAGTTATTTAATCTAATATTAATGAAGCATACACGATTTTGTGCTAGTAATAAGTAGAATAAAAGCTAGTTGTTTAATACTATTTTTAGCTCATCTTCAATGTGATTATAGGCTTTTCGAGGCACGTGTTACAATACACAATCTGTATTAGTGGGAATGTGACTCATATAGATACATACACAGATTTTGGGGGTGCTCTTTTAACTGCTGAGAGAATATCATCAAAATATTCAAAGATATTTAAGGAGGATATATGGGTATTGGTGGGAATGAGTGGATGGAGGGATGGGTGGGATGGGTGTGGATGGAGGAAAGTCACATGAGAGGGCTTTGCTGGGATCCAGGGCAAGAGATGCTGATGTCCTAGACTGGGGGAGTCCCAGTAAAAATGGGGGGGGGGAGACTAAAGGACTTTGGGGACTAAATTAAAGGACTTCCTTTTGAAGATAGAGAAGAAATCAAGGGAGAGTGTTAATTCAGTCAGAATGTTGAGGGAGTGGATAGCCAGGGGAGGTTCAATTTTAGGAGGTCTTGAAGTTTGCTTGGACCTGGGGGTTAAGGAAGAAGGAGAAAACTTGGGGAATTCCTAGTTCTCTATCTAGGCAACTAGACGGATGACATGTGGTTCACCGAGAATGGAGAAAAAAGGGAAAGGGAACAGGTGGAGGAGGGGAGGAAGAAGTAGAAGAGACAAGTGAGCTTGGGAACTGTATATTTGAAGGTAGTCAGAGAACTCAGGCAGGAACATGGACATGTGGGTCTGAGCAAGAAGTTGGGGCTGGACATATTGATTCTGGAGCCAAAAGCATAGTCATGGAGAATTTACAGTAGGAAGAGCTGAGAACTGAAGCATGGGATCATGGGGAGAGAAGCATGCTTGAAAATAAGAGAGGGGCTGGGGATGTAGTTCAGTCATTATTATCCAAAGTACATGTATGAAGACACGAATTGGTGTGAATATACTTTGTATACAACTAGAGATATGAAAAATTGTGCTCTATAAATGTAATAAGAATTGTGATGCATTCCACTGTCATATGTAAATTAAAAAATAATTAAAAAAAAGAAAATTAGAGTGAAGTTGGGGGGAGAGAGAGAAAAAAAAAAAGGGGGGGGGGGGGGGGGGAAAGGGGGAGGGGGGGGGGGGGGGAGGGAGGAAGAGAGAGAGAGAGAGAAGCAGCTAAATTCTAAAAGAGGCAGGTAGAAACAGACTCAGGAAGGAAGGTTTGCCAAGGAAAGGAAATAGTGCGGGGCATTTGTGGACAGGAATGAATAAGAGCAAGGTAAACGTAATGTGACATCCTAAGTGGAGAGGAAGGAAACAGAGTCAGCTCACATGAGGTTGAGAGGGTGACAATGACGCGGTCTGAGCCAAGCGAATGTTGTATAATTCTTGCTAAGGGAATTCCGTAGTGGAAGGGAACCTCCCCTCTGAGGTCTGCTTCCCTTGTGCCTTAATTAGCTTTGGCTTCACTTCAAACTAGAAATGGTTTACTGCATGATATCTGCATTTGTGCTAACCTGAAAGCAGCCCAGGTTTCTAATATCAGAAAGTTGTTAAATCAATGAGCCGAGCTCTGTGAGCTCAACAATTCCTTGACAGTTGAAAGCCGTAATTTCTTGTGGAACAGAGGCCAACATTGCCTTTAAACAAGGTTAAATTAAAGTTAAATACCACATAAGCACAGTGCAAAACCACCCAGTTCTCAGACACTAGCTGCTACAGTTACGTTGGTAAAGATCAGGATTTGTCACTGAATTTGTTTCATCTGAGAAATCAAAGTGCTGACTGTCACTGACTTATTAGACGACCCTCCTGAACACCTGTCAATTAGGCCATTTACTTGTCTTCTTAAGGCTAGTGATTAGCAAGCCCTGCACGGGATCCTTGGGTATAAAAGGGGAGATTGCCCAATCTGCCCAGGTGAGGAAATGGCACAGAACCACCTGTGCCTTCTACCAATGTCAACCTCCTGGTTTTGATGTTGTACCCTAACTGTGTGAAATGCACCCTTTGGGGGAAGCTGGGTGAAGGGTACCACTTTTGCAACCTCCTGTATACATTTAATTACTTTAAAATAATAAAAAAAAAGTTTTAGAAAGTGAATAAGAAATAACATTAGGTTTTCAAGCAAACATTCAGTGAGATGGAGAGAGAGTCAAAGATCTATAAAAGAGAGCAAAGAGGACAAGAACTGTGCTCTGGGAAGGATGGAGTGGCAAGGCAGGTTCTAACCACCCTGGAGTGAAGAGCTGGGGTGATTCCATACAAAGAGGGAGAGAGATGGGGGTTCAGTCGGATGGAAAGATGGCTTTTGAGCAAATGCTGTTCCCGAGGGTGCTCAGATTATGATAGCAACTGTTGTTATTGCTTACTATAATTATTTTGGGGAGTGGGTGGGATGAGGTTTAACTTTATCTCATTTAATGTCTACAATAACATTGTGTCAGTGTTATACCCATTTTACATAAGAGAAAGTGGGATCTTGAGAATTCTAGCAATCTCTCTATTCTTCCACAGTACCAGCATGGAAATTGCTATTTGGGTCTTGCAATTAAACCCGTTTCCACCTGACTCTCGCCAGTGGCTCCTCTGACCAGTCTGAACAGAATGAACATGTTTTAAGGCTCGTGTGGGGTCAGAGCCATGACTGAAAGGGAGTGCTGGAGTCTTCAAGCCCTGGCGATGTCCTCATGAATGTAAGTTGCAGCCTTGGTAAGATCATAGGAGCAAACTATGTATGGCTATGTTTTAGCCAATAGTAAAAAAAAAAAATATATATATATATATATCAAATCTTGAACTCAAATATGGGAAACCTTCTGATTTGAGGGAGGAGGAAGCACTTGTCCTAGGTGTGCTGAGCTGGGATGGGCAGGCACAGGGCCTTCAAGGAGGCTTGACCCTACCTCCGGGGCGATGTAGTCAGGGGTCCCGCAGAAAGTGTTGGTCTTTGCATCTCCCAGCATGTTCTCCTTGCACATCCCAAAATCTGCTATTTTGATATGCCCATCTTTGTCTAGCAGGATATTATCTAGCTTCAAGTCCCTGAAAAACAAAAGCAAAAGCAAAACCACACTTGAATAGATAACAATTTACTTAAAATAAAATGGTTGGTCCTGGGGGCGTGGTAGCTCATCTCGGCACAGCCAGAGAGGGGGCCAAAGAGGGGGTGCAGGGGGAGCTTGGCTGGTCCTCCCTCCCCCTGGCTCACTGCTGGCTGCTCCTTGGTCCTCGGTTTTCTACTTGTGGCTTATGCTCAAGGCTTTCCCCACAGCCCCTGCTGTCCCGGCCAGCTGGCTTGGTACTGACCCTCCCTCTGACTTTTGTGTCCCCCATGCCCTGCTCAACTCTGGTTCATCTCCAGAGCTCAATCCATGTTTCTTGTCTGCAGACTCCACAGGTGGTCTATAAATGTCCTGGCTTATCTCCCCAGTGCAGCACCCTTGACTTTTAAGAGGGCTTTCTAAAACAATGGACATGAAGAGACAGCTAAGAATGAAATGCCCTGGTGGGTGGTGGCTGAGGTGCTTGGAGTAGGGTGCTCTGCGACACGGTACACCATCAACTCGCCTTCACTTGTATACACTTGTATACACAGCAGGGCAGACAGGCCAGTTCCTCAAGGGAACAGTCATTGCTGCTGCTGTTTTTCCTTCTGGTTTACCAAGGAGTAGTGCTTCATGAACGGGGACAGAACCCCCACCAGAGACTTTTGACGCCAGTGCCTTTTCTGGGGGGGAACAAAGCGGGAAAAGCCTTACAAAATGCTGTTTTTATGCCATTTTATACTATGGTTCTGTCTTTTTTTTTTTTTTAATTATGTTATACTGCACCTAATTCCAAGTCTAGTTGAAGAAGGTTATTTCTAATGAAAAATTTTCTAGAATGAGAATCCCTCCAAACTAGAATGTCATGTCCATAAATTTCTCTCTCAGTAGAGTACTGGTATCCTCTAAAAATAGCCAATTCTATTCTTCAATAAATGCAACAGATAATTTTTTTAAATTAATGAACCAATGTACACCTCTTTGTGAATTTTACTCATTGGCTTCTCTAGCATTATTATACAGGTACCCAAGTATTTGAGAAGTGACATCAAGTTCTCTCTTGTCTTTCCTTCAACAAGTTCAGGGACCTTGTTCCTTACATGATGAGGTTTTCAGACCCTTCCACCTCCAGATGTCTTGAATTTGTTTTATTCTTGAGAGGTGATGTTTGGACTGGAAACACCGTCCTGGTGGCTGATCTCACTGGTGCAGATTCTAAGGCACCACTGCCTCATGTCAGGACCCTCACGCTTTTTGCCACGGTGGCCTAAGACGTTGTTCTGGTTGTTTCTGCAGCTTCCTCACACTAACAATTAATATTTAGTTTATTATAAACTAAAACCTCCAGTACTTTTTTTCATGACATTATCCCAGTTTCTTCCCATCCTCTACCTGCAAAATTGACCCTTTAAAGATGATTCAGGTATTACATTGACTTGTCATCAATTACTTTCAAGTTTTATCTTTTTTTAATCTTATCTAAGATTTTAGTTAATAGAATTTCATGAATTCTAGTTTGTCATATAACATCTAACTTCATTTCCGGTTTTGTTATTGTCTGGGAATTTCTGAACTTTCTGAGATCCACTGTTGTTAAGGTGAGGGGATGTGGCTGCTGGAGACTACAGCTGCTCTCATTGGTTAACTAATGTGACTTGGGAGAGAGCAGGGGTAGGTGCTCTTCTCATCTCTTAGGGGACCTCCTCTTGGAGGACTTGCCCAGCCTCCCTTATCAGAAATTTTGCTCCCAATTAAGTAACCCTGTCCCCTCTACCTCAGTGGATCAACTCAACCGGACTATTCATTTCCTGTTTTTGGATGTTGGAATTGCACTGATCTGTCTTGGTGAAGTGCCAGAAGAGAGAAAGAAGATATCCAGGATTGCTTGTGGTATTTGCCCTTGGAAAATGAGACTACTTTGTAAAAGAAGAGGAAAATGAAGTAGTTAGGCCAAGAGCAGTGACAGAAGCCACACAAATCCAAAGAGAAACCGAGAGAAGGGAGAATCTGCCTGGTTTCTGCTGAGTTTGCCTTCTCAGTTATGGTTTCCTAATGAGGCCCAGCTTTTGCTTAAGCAGAAGTTCCAGTGTTATTACTTGTCCTAAATATTTATGATTTCTGAAAGTTCCCTTCAATGTTTGTTTTGTCTGTTACCTTTGTAAAACGGGAAGCTTCTTTAGGACGGAAACATATTGCTTCTTATTTATTGTAATTGAACCGGGCTCTGCTAACAGTACCGCATGCACCGGGCCCTCAATAATATTTGTGGAAAGAATTAATCCCCAAACAGTGATTATCAGTTGCAATGAATGGCTCACTAAATGCTCCCCTTAATTGTTTCCCCCACCTTCTGTAACAGCGAGTTAGCTAGAGAAACTGAGAGTGGATTGCGGCTGTTTTGGTAGAGTAGAGATTAGCAGGTATCCCCAGGGTTGATGTCCTCTACTGGGCCAGTTGGGTCATCTCCATTATCAGGGCATCTCCCACATTTTCTGTCTGACCGCAAGGCCTGAAGTCCATCTCACAGTAATGTCATTTCGGATGTTCTATCTCCCGAGCTCAAATGCTGTCACACTTTCATAATCAGGACTGAAGATGCTCAGTAAGTCCAGATCTTCTCATTAGAGAGTATTGGTGTTCTACCTCCTCATCTTACATTAGATTGAAATACACAATTTCACTGTGATTTGTGGATTATATTCCACTAATCCCAATTATGGGTTAGGCTTATTTTATGCTAAGAATTTCAGGTTCGTTATTTAATCCACATGCTCTGCCATATTGATACCATTTTGAGTTTCTGCTATATGAAACATGCACACCATTTGTAGCCATGCACACATGTTCCCAGAAATTGGGCTGAAGGATGATTTGGGGTCATCTCTAGATATCCAGTTCTGGTGCTATACATAGATCATAAGAATAATGATCTAAAATATTAGATATGTCTAAAATTTGCATTGGATTTTCTTGTTTGCATATGCATCTTATCAGTTGATTTTCACAACACTCCATTTCTAATTATCATGATTTTTTTTTCACATTTTTCCTGATGAAAAAACACAAAGGTTCTTAGAGTTGGTGTGATGTATCCCAGACAGCATGGCCCTTCAGTGGGCTAGGACACAAATGCCTTCCCTGTCTTTTCTCACATCCAATTATCCCAAACTCACCTGGTTTTTCTCATCAAACTGGTTTAGCTAAAATATACAAGGATGTATTTTTAACTGGTCCTAAAAATAAATGTTCTCTGGGCCTCAGGCAAGGAAGAATAAGCTTCACGTCCAATTTTTAATCCATTCTCTAAAGTGGGACAGATGTTTTGGGGATTGTGTGAGAGAAGCTCATAGAAGCTTTGAGAGATGCAAGTCAGAATGGAAAGGTCTAGAAAGGCTGCCTTGTAAAGCCGGGCCTCCATGGGGATGAGGAACGAGAAAGGAGAAGGCCAGCCAGACCCCCTGGGCCAACTGGAGATGCCACAGAACCCAAAGGCCTAGAATGTTCTGAGGCATGTCAGGCTGCTAGCTCCTCACATTCACCCCACAGGACATCAGGACCTGGAATAGAACTGCAGAGCCCAAGGCCCTGGTTTGTCCCTGTGTGCATTTTTTCTGCTCATGGAGCTGCTTTCAGTGCATCAAGTGTAACAGAAACAAGTAAAAGCCTTTCATTTGGTTGTGCGGTCAGTACAAGCAGAGCTCTTCCACTCAGAGAGGTGGAGGGGGTCAACAACGGCTTCCCAGTTCCAGCTTTATATGGCTAGTTCAGTCACTCTACTTCTGCTCCCTGAGTCTCTGATTTATCACATATAAAACGAGGCTAACGATGTTCACTTGCTTGTCTCCTGTGACATCAGATGAGATAATCCAGTGTCTTCAGGTGTATGGTTTAGATCCAGTTTTGTCAACAACAAAACATAACCTTAGATTTCTTTTCTGTTCTAACATTCTAAGGGTTGAGGCTCTAGAGTCTTCTCTTTCCATGTCTATGAATTTTTCAGGTCCTTGTTTTTACATTTAACCCAATTCAGGGTCTGTGACTGACGGTTTATAAGAGGCCACTGTCTTTCAGTTCCCAGCAGGTAGTGAAAGATGGTGTCACCACCTGGTTCTCTGTAGCTCATGCTCTCAATTCTTGCTTCTGCCCAATGTCATTGCCTTTTGTTAAAGTTGGACAAATTTGTTTATTTTTCCTCTATTTGACCTTCTTATTTCTATTTCTGTGCCTTTTCTGCAGTCACTTTTTCCATGTGCAAAGCTTGTTCTCCTTTATGAAATCCTTTTTTCTCAGGTAGGGATTTTGGTTGGCAGACTCCACTGACATCCACAGAGGGCTTTCCTTCCCTTGGCACTTGCACTTTTAATTGGAATCAGATTCCCTTGCACTTTTAAAGAATGCACTTCTTGTGTGTGTGTGTGTTTTTTTTTTCCATGCAATTCTACTTTTAGAAAATTGCAGGAAGTGGCTTCATTAGGTGTTTGGGGTTGGGACTTCTATACATTTTGTGTCACTATAATGCTTGACAAAGGGATTTGGTGGACCCTCAGTGACACTAGTTGTAGAGGTTGAATTCTGGGTCCCCAAAACACATATACATGTCCTCACCTCCAAAACTCTGTGAATGTGACCTTGCTTAGCAAAAAAAAAACCAAAAAAACAAAAAAAAGGTCTTTGCAGATATACTTAACGATCTTAAGATGATTTCATCCTGGATTGTCATGGGGTGGGGACTAATTCTGTCAAGTGTGGTTCTAAGAGACACACAGAGGAGAGATATACACAGAGAGAAGGCCATATGGAGATGAAGGCAGAGATTGGAATGATGAGGCAATAAGCCAAGGAGTGCCTGCAGCCACCAAAGGCTGGAGGAGCAAGGAAGGGTCCTCCTCTAGACCTTTGGTAGGAACATGGTTCTGCCAACACCTTGATTTTGGACTTCTGGACTCTAGAACCTGAAAATAAGGCTCCAATTTCTTTTTTCTTTTCTTTTTTTTTAAGAGAGAGAGAGAGAGAGAGAGAGAGAGAATTTTAATATATATATTTTTTAGTTATCGGCAGACACAACATCTTTGTTTGTATGTGGTGCTGAGGATCGAACCCGGGCCGCACGCATGCCAGGCGAGCGCGCTACCGCTTGAGCCACATCCCCAGCCCAAGGCTCCATTTTCTTAAGCTACCAAATTTGTGGTAGTTTCTTAAGACAGTCTTTCAAGACCAATAGATCGGTTTTGTGAACAAGCTCATAAAAATCTTCATTGTTTGGTCAAATAAAGGAAATTAATAGAATCCCCTCTTTTAATTCAGTTGCCAAATTAAAAGTTTAGATCAGCGAAATCACATACAAGCTGAGAGATTCCTTGAAGCAAGTTAATCTCAGTGTCAGCATCAAAACTTCACTATGACCCATCTCTACATCCAGCTTGCTGCCTTCAACAATGGGGGTGGAACATGCAACCAATGGGCTAGCCTCATTAAATAGTCTTAACTATTTCATGATGCCTTTTTCAGGGACCTCCTACAACTTCATGTGCATACTAAACAAACACAATATTCTTTCTTATTCATGCCTAAGAAGACTCTCACATGTGGACACAGCAAGGGCTCCGAATGTTGATTGTGACATTAGAGCTTAACTTAGACCCTGACTGGTCTTTTTGTTCATTAATTTACAAGATGGTGTGACCAGAAAAATACTGTGATGAAGAGGAATAGATGCATAGGGGCACATGGGTTTTGAGATTCATGAGGTGTTTTCCGGCCCTAAGATCTTTGGCTCTCTCTCCCTTCTAACTTTTCTAAATTTTCATCTATCCATCCATCCATCGCACATCATCTACTCAATACCTAGGTACAAGTATTACATTTTAGGTATATGGCAGGCATTATAAACACAGATTCAAAACACCCATTGGCCGGGCACAGGGGTGCATGCCTCCAATTCCAGAAGCTTGAGAGGCTGAGATAGGAGGATTGCAAGTTCAAGGCCAGACTCAGCAACTTAGTGAGACCCTGAATCAAAATAAAAAATAAAAAAGGGCTAGGGATGTGCTCAGTGGTTAAGCATCCCTGGGTTCAATCCCCAGTATCAATAAATAAATAATAAACAAGCCAGCCTGTCAGCCGTGGATCATAATCAAGGTTGTCAAATAATGTTCTTATATTTCTCAATTTCTTGAGCATTAAAAATGGAAGGATATAAATCAGCTTCTTAATCTGATCATTTTGAAGATAGATTAAAAAAATAGGTTCAAAGAGCCTGCTTAAGAAGTCTGACTTCCCAAACCTCCTCTAGGTCTTTAATTCTGTGATACTAAATACAGCAGCCCTCATGTGGGCATCCCCTGGAAAAGTGTGTGTGTGTGTATGTATTTGTGGTGTTCCTCCTTCCTAACTACATTTCCCAGACAATGGCAGCATGCTCAGTGAGCACCAAAGCCTCAATATCAACCATCTCTCTGTGAAGCCTGCTGTTCTCAACAATCCCAGTGGAGCACAATGGAGCATTTATTGGTGATTCCAGGTCATTATTGTGAGTCTGTCACAGAAGAGGTCCCTGTGCTGGTTTCCAGTAGCTCAGTCAGATCCTCATCAGTTTCCTTTTCTCCCCCCCCCCGCCAATCTAGAGCGAGTTGGAAATTGGACAACTGTGCTTTTGAAGATATGGATGTTAAGTAAGTGTCAGCTATGTTTTGAGAAAAGAAGTGAGAAGATTGAAAGTACAATAGCTTTCATCTAAGGACTTTGGCAGCAGCAGAGTATGAAATGGTATTGCACAATGGAGGAATTTTGGATTCAGGAAAGAGGACAGGGAGGTGTTCTGCACAATTCTCCAGGTTGTAGGATTGCAGGTTCTGTGTGAGAGTTCTGGAAAGAATGTCCTTCCCTGATCTCATAAGCATTGGTAGGTGACACAAAGCAAATGTGAACCAGAACAGGTGGTGAAAAGAAAACCAGTGAGGGAGAAAATAAGATGCTGGAGAGAAATCAGAGTAGTAGAAGGAAATCAGAGAGGGGGGTGAAAGGGAGGAGAAGAGTAAGGGCCACAATAAAGGACAGAATAAGGCTAGGACCTTCTTGTGTGGAGCCTGGAATTTCTCATTAGCTGGTTGTTGGCAGATCACCATCCATGTGTTCTGGGTGGAGAATTTCTAATACAAAGGCACACTCCCCAGCCAAGGCATAGCACCCAAGGGCAAAGATTAAATGAATGGGGCCAGGAAATTGGATAGCTTAGTATTTGTTTCCATAAAGCACAATTTACCTATAGACAATTCCTTTGGAATGAAGGAACTGCAGACCAAGGATGATTTCAGCAGCATAAAACCTGAGGGAAAGAGAGCAAAGATTAAATGGCAATGTACTGACAGAACACAGCCAGCCCCCAACCCAGTCTGGTACCTATGTGCAGACAGTCCTTGACTAAATGGTAGACGCCCATAATCTTGCTTAATCCTAACAAGGAAGATGTCATCCATTCTACACTTTGGAAATCCAGGACTCATGGTCTGTTAGCAGCATTAGCCTGGGGAGTATGAACCAGAGCTGGTGTCTTAAATTTGCCTGGCTTCCATCTGCAACTTGTTCTTTTATTTTAAACTGCAATGCTCATGCCTCTATTTTTTGCTAATAGAACATACACAAACACTCAGTGTCATAGTGTATGATAATACAAAAATAATTTTCTCCTTAATTTTAAAACTGGGCTTAATTTTAAAACTTGGAGCCCAATGGCTGGCTGTCTGCAGGGCTATTCCCAACAGACCTGGCTGGTTTGCTTTCATATTGACAATGTTGAGCCTGGGCAAGAAACATAGCCTGAGAGGTGGAAAGAGGATATTAGAAGATGCAAGTTGATAAGTTACTCTGTATCTAATTGGTGGCAGACTTAAAGGAAATGAGTTTACACTTCTCTAGTGGGATTAAGCACAGATATGAGGGAGAGCTTCCTGGAAGTGAGACTTTCTGGGTCTTGTGGAAGAGAGCAAAAGTCTCCCTCCTGGAAGACATTTAGGGCAAAACAGATCAGCAGTATGTGCCCCGGCCAGTTTCGTGCATTACAGAGCTGGAGAGGACGGTGGACTGAGTGGATTGTTTCTAACACACAATAATGCCCAGTGATATTACTGCTGTAGAGATCTGATAAAACTATCTGTGGGGACTCTGTGGAGGGTTCCTGGAGGCAACAAGAGTGGCAAAGTGCTTCCCGCTAGATTTGACAAAACAGCCATCACTCCTGCCAGGAGTTTTGCAGGAACTGGTGCATCAAGTCTCTCTTTCAGCCCAGTTCACCCTAAACCACTCTGAGTGTTCAGGTGGAGGTGGGTGATAGATAATTGGGTATCAAGCAAAGAACGTCAGCAAAGAAAGCTGACACATATCTATTATTTAGAAATGAGCCCAACGGCATAGTTTACTTTTGCTTGAATGTCATAGTGTGTTTACCATGCAGGAAGTAGGACCCATGGGGGCTTGGTGCAGGCAGGTGCTGTGGAACTTAGTCCTACCAGGTAAACACACCTGCTCCATCTAACTTGCATCTAGGGCTGTTTAATGCCAAAGAAGGGGAGAGTTTATTCTCAGGTAGCGTTAAATGCTTCTTCTAGTTTCTTCCTTCTCATGTCCGGGGAACCAATTGCCTTACCCCTTTCCACTAAGCCTCAGCTCAAAGTTTCACACCTTGCAGACTTGTGTTCCATTTGATCACCTTCTTCCTAAAGGACAAATATTTGCTTCTGCGATCCAGTATTTAGAAGCGTGATGAACTGGGGTGGCTACTTAAGAAACCAAGTAGTTCTTTTTATAACAGGGAGATATGTAATAAATTGTCATGAATCTCAAGTTTGCAAACTGGGAAAATTGTTACCTGGTTTGATAATACTCCCAAAGGTTTACCTGGCTACTGGATTCAGGTGTGCCAAGTGAGGAAGCAGGAAAGATACCACATGGGAAAAGCGTTCTGTGGGCACTTAGTACACATGAACAAGGACTCCCCCCCCTCCAAACCCTTTATGGGGCTCTTACGTGGCTCTGGAAAGATCAAATTTGTGGCAACTTTGGATGTGGTACATTAAGTCTCCTCCGTTGAGATACTCCATCACAAAAAAGAGGTTTTCCTAGGTGAAAAAAACACAATCCCAACTTAGTTTCTGAAAAAATCAAGAAAATCAAGATGACTTTTTAAAATGGATTAGATAATTTCAGAGGAATTAATTGCATCTTGAAATCACTTATGAAAAGATTGTCAAGATGACTTAGCTGATCCATAGTTTCCAACCCTAGGGAGCCTGGGGAATCTGGTGGGATGCTGGGTAACACTTTCCGGAGGCTTATGTGCTCTGATCTCGCTGATGGAGTGTGGTCAGCTGGACAACGAAACAGTGCTGAGCACTTAGTGGGTACTGACCACATACCTACTAAAATGGACAATGCGAGGTATGGTCAAATCTCTGACTCCAGGTGCAGGGCAGGAAAACATCCATTCATGTTAGGGTAGTCACTGAGTGTGTTCTATGGGGGAGTAAGCATGGAAGGCTCATTCCTGCCTCATCCATCAAACATGAACGAGACCTCCAGGAGCTCCAAATTGAGTTCCACCTATTCCTCTCCAGTCCAGACTTTGCTTGTTGCAGAGCAAGCTGGTTCCTGGGCCTGTTACTCCTGGCAGAGGACCCCATGCATGATATTAGGACTTCCATTCTAGAGGGACAGCAAGTCGGAGCTATCAGAGGTCACCAGGATTCCAAACAGTCTCTGCTCCTTCGACTACATAACACATTATTTCTTCAACAAAAATAGTCCTAGCTCTTTGAACATCCTGAATTTTCAAGTGTTCTTAAGAAACCCAGGATTAGCAACCAATGAAGTGTGGAGGCATTTGGTATATTCGTGCATGAATTTGCATCTGAAAACCTCACATGGGTGATCTTTAAACATAATTAACCTTTACAACTGGATGAGAGACTCACGGAGGCCATGGGGTCTATGTGAGGTCACAATGCAAATGGTATCCTGGTCACAGAGTGATATGAGCTGCTTGTCACTTGTTCTGAGGCTAGGTTTCCCCACAATGGGAAAAATTAAATATTGTGGCAATTATCTCAGGCAAGGCTAAGTGTCTGCATGCTTTTTCCAAAGCTGACCTTGGATCTACTTTCCTGGTTCCAGTAGGCTTTAACTATAACCCACTCTTGTCTTTTGTGGGGAGGCCAAAATCATGAGAAGATATAAATCATAACATTGATATTTCAGACATGATGAGTATAATCATTTGCCTCATCTACATGAACCTGGTATCCTTTTCCCGTAGCTCTTGACCCTCTAAGTACTTTGTAAATGGCTTCTAATCTATATCTTTTTAAAGCAAAAACATACTCTGCCCTTGGACAAGCCACAGGTGGCATCTTTATTTACATGCTCAGGAGAACAAGGGGTTAAAACATTCAAGGAGAACATTTGTAACAGCGCTCAAGTGAATGGTTTCTTCTCAGCGTTAGGATGCTTACAAATCCCAACAGAAGTTGAGTTTTCACAATTTATTCACTGTTGATCGGGATCCATCCCACACACTCTGCACAGCATCCTGACCTGGTCTCATGCCTACATTAGACTCTGCACCCAGAGGTGAGTCCTGGGGAGTTGAAGCTGCTATTAAAGAGAGTTGAAGATACCCTAGGGCTTGGCCAATCTTTACTACCGTGGGCTTGCGAGGAAGACTACACCGATGTAGTGATTATTAATTGAACAGTAATGTAGGCTGTTGGCATGTTGGATGCCACATTTAATTTTACCAAGAGATCTGATTGTTCCCCAACAAACCTTTCAAAGAAGCCTGGTTCAGTTCTCATCTTGATATTAAGCCAAGGACAGTGCAAACTTCCATTGCTTATCCTCTCTCATTTGTGATATCATTTGGTGTCAGTTTGACCCTTTTGACTGGGTGAGTGACTGTCAAGTAAAACTTGGGTTTCTTAAAGTGCAGCAGGACTCCAGTCCCCACCTGGAGTCTAGCTTGGGGGGCAGGATGGGGAGACCCTGTTATTGTGTTTGGAAAGCTTGGGGATCTGCTCATCTAAGAACTCTTTGGCCTACTCTGAGCCCAGTGCCATGTGCTCTGTGATGGAATTAGCAAAAAATGCAGACACTTAAGACCAGATGGTCCTGAGGTCTGTATTTTGAGAAATCACACTTTGAGGAATGTATAACTGTTTTAAAAGTCAATCCAAAATCCCAGTCCTGAAAAGTAAATATAAATGTAATAGGATCAAAATTCTGTTAATGGCTGGGGAAGAAGTACTCAGAGATGAAGGTAACTTGTAGCTAACCTGGACCCTGCAGAACTCCTGGGAAAAGATCTGCCTGCTGGAAAACCTCTGGACTGACCTAGGAAGAACCAAACCAAGGAGAGTGAGACTCAGAGTGATTGGTGGGAACGTGGGCGTTGTCCTTACTCAGAGCTGAGTTCAAATCCCATCTACTTGTGACTTTGGACAAATCACTTTTCCCGAGCCTCATCTCATTTGTGAAATGGGGAAAATAATATTTCAACCTTCAAAGGGTTGAAAATAAAATAATATATAATAGAAAATGGGTTTATAGCACTCACTGGATAACTGGTAGCTGTTGTAATTAGAGGAAAATAAATGAAAAGCAGGTAACACAAACAAATAAAAACCCAGCAGCTATTTCCTGGAGGAAGGACATAAACAGTCCTTTGGCTCTTGAAATAAAGATGAAAACAGAGAATTCTATTTCTTTTTCCTTTGCTATCTTTTGGGTTCTATTCACCAGTTGAGGGAAAATGCAAAGGAGGCTGGTGAAAGGGAACTGGACTTGGTTCTGGGCAATTTTACGTGGCTACTCATTGGGTGACATGTCAGCTGATGCAAGGGATTCTTCCAGGTGGGTCAAACTGAAGTTGGGATGGAGTGGGGGGATGGGACCTACATACCTGCCCCAGACTTTACTTTGCCAATAATTCCTGGTGCAGAGAGGAAATCCAAGTCTTGGAATTAGGATGTCACTAACTGGCTGTGTGATCAGCTAAACCAGCCCACCCCAGGGCCTCAGTTCCATCCTCTGGAAAATGACACATATCTGTGGGACCCTTGACTAAATTCTCCATTAGTAACTGAAAGACTAAAGAACATTTTATGGTTCTCTCATTTTCTTCTGGAAAAGATGAAATTAATAAACTGTGACTGTTAAGCACGCCACGCCAAGGTAATAAAGAAGATATTGGTGACAGAATTCTATGTTTGTAAAGTTCTAGGAGAGATGATTCAGAAAAAAATCCCACATATTTGAAATATAATTAATCTGTTAGATCTCATTGTTCCAGGTGTGAGATACCTCTAAAAATTTAAATTGTGCAATAAATATATCACTTTTGAAATACATATTATGTTTTTAGAATTCTATTGTTTTGAGAAAAGTAATAAATGAATGATTAGAGCATTTGAAAAAAGCAATGTATTTTTTTCTCTCTACATCCACACACACACACACAAATATGTATAGAGAGGTTATGTAAGTCATAGATTATGATTTACAACCTATTTTAATGCAACCATGTCAATTTTGTTGAAACACTGCAGAATTGAACACTTAATGGGTTAAGGACTACATATGAACCTTTTCTGAACCTTCCTCAAAGGAGATAAGAATTATGGCTGGTTTCATTATACCCACCTTCACCATCCAATGGAAGGTCATAAAACAAAGGTCAGAAGCCTTCCTCAGTTTGAACAGTCCCCTGTGCACGCTCACAGAGCTTGGATGTTGGTTGGGTGAAAATATCTCTGTGTCTACACAGGTATCTATGGTCCCAAGGATCCTGGACTGCTTGACATTTTAATCTGTGAGCAAAGGGTGCAGGAGCAGAGTGGGTCAGGAGAGAAAGTGGCTTCAAGCTGGTGGCCACGGGGGTGGCAGGAGAACTTTTTGATTGGCGTTTGTATTTTGTTTCTGAAATGTGTCTCATTCTCTAAGAAAGAACTCAAGCAAGCCTGAAGGGTATTTGAAAGAATAGGCACAAAGGAGTAGAACTTGATGAACTCTAAGATCTTTGCCTCAGTCTAAGCATTCTGAGTCTTGGTTTATTTCAGTGGTAAAACATAGCATTTTGTTGAGTGGTTCCTGGGACAAAGGAATTTTGCATTATGGAGATTTCCTTGCTCAATCAGGACCCTGTGGGACCAAACACACTCGGGTTCTTGTCAAGTCAAACACATCAATTTGTAAAGTGAGTGTTCCTGCCAGGTGTGATAGTGCACTCCTGTAATCCCAGTGACTCTGGAGGTTAAGGCAGGAGGATTGCAAGTTCAAGGCTTGCCTCAGCAACTTAGCAGGACCCTGTCACGAAATAAAAAATAAAACGAGCTGGGAGTGTAGCTCAGTGGTACATCACCCCTAGGCTCAATCCCCAGTAACAACCAAGTCATGGAAAGTAAGCCTACTTAATATCATTCATGGTCTTTGGAGCAGATTCTCCAAATGTCCTTCCTTCATCTGCTGCTTTTATTAATCAAACAGTAAAGCTGATCTAGTGCCCTGTAGGTAAAGTTAAATCGGAGCTGGAATGTGACAGTATAGTTACACGAGGCCTCATGGAAGCAGGGATTCATTGAAGATGCTGATGTGCTGTGGTTGGTAGGAGAGCTTCCGATGCACTATTCGATAGCATGAACCCACTTATCAACTTTCCATCGTACATTCTTTGCAAATGTACCTGGGGCATATGTGCTGCTCCATCAGGGAGGCCACAAAAATGAGAGAGTCACAGGTACCCCTTGCTGTGCTGTCATCTTCTGACAACTGACTGAAGGCAATTATCAATGTGGATATTTTGTTGATAGATGGGTACTCAGACCTTTATGGGTTTTTTAAAAAAAATTTCTTGTTGCTTTAAAAAAGTATTTATTATATCCATGCAAAATCATTTAAATAAAACATTCAGTACCATCAAAAATTCAAAATAGCTTACTGTTTTTGCAGAGAATTAAGTATATTTGTGTAAAGAGTACTGTATTTCCTAGACCTTCAACAAATATTGTTCAGGCCCTGGCTGATGGAGCTCTGTGTTCCTCGTATATTTATAAAAATATAAGATATCACT